CAAAGTTTGCAGCACACACACACACACACACATTTGCACGTTAATTTACACTGCTGTATAGATATTCAATTCACCTTTTTTGTATAGTGCTTTTACAATGTAGATTGTGTCAAAGCAGCTTCACATAGAAGATTATAGTAAATAGATATCCGTTATGCTACTTTACAAAATAATCCTGATTTAATGTCCACAAATTAGGACCCCTTTTGTGTGATTGAGGCATCCTCATTAATAGTTGTGTATTGACACTATGCAGCTGTGGTGGGTCCTGTTGTTATGAATTACATACAGTGGTCCCTCGCTCTGAACAAGGTTCACTTTTTGCAGCCTTGCACTTTTGTGAATTTTTTCGTGCAATTTGATATGCTTTTTGTTTTTTTACATTGCACTGTTTTCTGCGTCCTGATTAGCGAATTGTGGTCTGCATTCTGGCTGGTTGTAGACCATTGTCAATTAATTTCCACCGTGCCGTGTCTCATGTACAGTACACAATGCGTTCAGCTTGCCAAATTTACATAAATCTTCGACTGCTAGCAGTGTGACTCTGAAGTGCTGTTCTGTATGTTTGGAAGTTTTGCGTTCTGCACCACCAAAGGCACCTGCGGTAGCACCCAAAAGGCAGAAGATGTTGCTAACCATCGCACAAAAGGTTAAACTTCTGGACATGCTAAATCAGGGGTTTTCAAACTTTTTAATCTCAGGGACCCCCAAATATGATGATTTCTTGCAGGGGACCCCTTTGCCTAAAGTTTAAAAGCACTTATATATTTCAAGTATAAATATGTAAACTAAAATTCTGTATAACGTAAAGACACTATAGTTCATATTTCACAGGCATGCAAAATAGTATTGTTTTTAAAACTATTTATCTTATTAGTTGGCAACTCACTATAGCCAAAAATTATTTTCTATTTTTTTATTTCATTAAAAACAATGAAATATTTACATTAACTGAAAAAGATAAATGAGGCAGTGGTAGATGAAAAGTTAAACCTTGATATTTGTAACATTTGTAGTTTCTGTAGTTTTTTTTTTTACCTGTCTTGTTTTTATGGAAAACTGCAAAAGTCTTTACATTGAACATATGCGTCTGCTTACTGTGTTGTCCGACAAAGGCACATAATCTACCATTCGTGCCGCTTCCTCTCCAAATAATTCTTTGACGATGTCTTTAGTAGCTGGTAATAACAATGCTTCGCCAACTGTGTGCGGCTTCTTAGCACATGCCATGTGGAGTGATGCCAAATATAACATTTTAAACAGCTCTCAGGGATTAATGCTTGCTGCTGAAAAATACTAGCCTGCCAGGCCAAACACAACTACTGATGTTTGAAATTGTCGATTTTTCTGCCTCATTGGGATGTTTCTGCTGTAGATGGCGCTTGAGCTTGGATGGTTTCATGCATTCATTGAAAAGAATCGCTTGACAAAGAACACACTGAGGTATATCGACTTCCTGCTTTAACATGCAGGTAAAACCAAGCGCAATGTAAGATTTGTTATATTTTCTGGTTTTTGCCTTAACCCTCGCAAAGTCAGATTTGCATGAACTGCTTGTGGGAGCGGGATTCTTTAAAAATCTTTCCATCATCTGTACTGCACTTACAGCCGCTTATTGTACGAGGGCAAAGGATTTTGGGATAAACACATTATTATTAAGTATCCACTTATATAAATCATAAAACTATATATAGATTAATAATTTATAGTTATTAATAAATTTAGGATTGGAAAAAATATCTCATAAAAATCATTTTTTGTTTTTCGTGGACCCCCTAGCACTCTCTTGCGGCCCACCAGGGGTCTGCGGACCCCAGTTTGAAAACCCTTGTGCTAAATTAACATGGCTACAGGGCACCATTACAGAATAAATAAATGATCAAATGGTTTTGATCTTTGTTTTCATTCTATAATACTGGACTACGAAGGTTTGAACTTTGAGAATGTTTCAAGAGTTCACACTTAGCTGATGATTGGTAATAAGCTAGTTTGGCATGCTGTCCCGGGAGAGAGCCCCGAGCTCAAAAGATCCTCGAGCCCGGAGCTCCCTTCCGTTTCCGTTCCGTGTGCTAATTTGGTTTAGTCAATTTACTTAGTCTCATGTTTTTGAGGGTGTGGGAGGAAACCGGAGGACCCGGGGAAAACCCACGCAAGCACGGGGAGAACATGAACTCCGCACAAAAATGCTGACCGGTTGGGTGGATACCCGAGTCGGAGGCATTTTTTGCTGTGAGGCCGTAGTGCTAGCCACTGGGCCGCCGTGTTGCCCTGTAGAAAAGAGGAGGAGAAGGGGTGGAAGGGGGGATTCTTCAAAACGAAGATGACTAAAGGTAGGGTGTTTGGTTATTTATACTGGGTTAGGACTAGCCTGATTGGTGGTTCATTCATTAGCTTGACTCGGGGCCAGCCGTGTCAATCATAAGCACGTGATCCTCTCGAAATTAGTTTATGAATAAACTTCACTTAAACGAGAGAAAAGTGTGAAAATGTTAATGCCTGTCTGAGAAAAATGTATAAAGTGTGTAGTGAGGAGTTTTACAGCCTTAGAACATCTATAATAATAGAAAAAAATAAAACTGACTACTTTGTGGATTTTGCCTATTGCGGGCTATTTTTAAAACGAGGGACCACTGTACATAGCAATTTTGTCTGTTCTTTATTTTAAACATGCACAGTTTTAAAAGTGTTTCAAACTTGTAAATCTCATTCCTGAGTTGCAGCTGATCACGAAGAGTTGGAACAGATCTTTTAATCCCAGTTTCTTAGCAAATCCTGTCTTGGAGGAGGCAATACTATGGAGCCATGTTAATATGTGTACGTCAATCAATTCAATCGACGGGAAAAACCACACCCCTACGTCATGTTGCGATGGGGGTCAAAAGCACAGGGATTTGGATCCTATTTTAACATATTTTAATCAAATATGACTGTGGACATTACATTTAATAATACAAAAATAAATTAATAATGAAAAAATACATATTATAGACATTTCTTAGCAAAATATTTAAAATATTGCTATTTAAATAACCTCTACTTGCATCCATAAATTTTTTTCCAACATAAACCTTCTTTAAATTTTTTTATTATTTATTTATTTTTTTTAACTATAATAAACTAAACCTATGCACATCAATCTGTCCAGGTCGTTGTCCTCAGAAGTAAATACATGGAGCACTTTCAAACAAATGTTACTGTATGGAAAATAATTAAACCATTATGATAAATAGAGTCAAAAATGACCTTTTTCAGATAAAAAGTCTAAAGTTTCATTGAGATTGATTATTGGTGTATAGGTTTAGGCCAGACTGGGTAGCAATACACGAACAAAGGAAAATAAAGACTTGTTTTTTTTTTAAATTTAAACCTACAACACAATTCATTCATTCATTTTCTTGTCGGCTTAGTCCCTTTATTAATCCGGGGTCACCACAGCGGAATGTACCGTCTAAATTGGAGCTCATTACAGATCTTTTAATCCCAGTTTCTTAGCAAATCCTGTCTTGGAGGAGCCAATACTATGGAGCCATGTTAATATGTGTACGTCAATCAATTCAGTGGACGGGAAAAACCACACCCCTACGTCATGTTGCGATGGGCCTCAAAAGCACAGGGATTTGGATCCTATTTTAACATATTTTTTTATCAAATATGACTGTGGACATTACATTTAATAATACAATAATAAATTAATAATTAAAAAAGACATATTTTAGACATTTCTTAGCAAAATATTTAAAATATTGCTATTTTAAATAACCTCTACTTGTATCCATAAATTTTTTTTCAACATAAACCTTCTTAAAAATGTATTTATTTTTTTTTAACTATAATAAACTAAACCTATGCACATCAATCTGTCCAGGTCGTTGTCCTCAGAAGTAAATACATGGAGCACTTTCAAACAAATGTTACTGTATGGAAAATAATTAAACCATTATGATAAATAGAGTCAAAAATGACCTTTTTCAGATAAAAAGTCTAAAGTTTTATTGAGATTGATTGTTGGTGTATAGGTTTAGGCCAGACTGGGTAGCAATACACAAACAAAGGAAAATTAAGACTTGTTTTTTTTTTAAATTTAAACCTACAACACAATTCATTCATTCATTTTCTTGTCGGCTTAGTCCCTTTATTAATCCGGGGTCACCACAGCGGAATGTACCGTCTAAATTGGAGCTCATTACAGATCTTTTAATCCCAGTTTCTTAGCAAATCCTGTCTTGGAGGAGCCAATACTATGGAGCCATGTTAATATGTGTACGTCAATCAATTCAGTGGACGGGAAAAACCACACCCCTACGTCATGTTGCGATGGGCCTCAAAAGCACAGGGATTTGGATCCTATTTTAACATATTTTAATCTAATATGACTGTGGACACACTATACCTACACACAGTTCTGTCCAAACAGCATCCAAAAGTCGATTTTGCATGATAGGAGCTCTTTAAAAAAAAAAAACACTGCGAGTTTGTTGCATTTATTTATTTAAATACCTTCACAATTCAGATTCTGACTGATAAATCAAGTTAGAGTCATTAATGCAATATCAAGACTAATTTTCATTACAGTTTTAATGATAGCGACCACCATAACACGGGTCTTCTGCATAGTTGATCTGATCTAGACATTAGTACGGTCGTCTAGGAACTTCTATATTTGCATCGAAACTGAAAAATATTTATTATAAAAGCACAGATTTTCCTACGTGATTATTTTTATTAACACAAGCAGCAATTTTTTTTTTTGCCAATGTCTAGGTTGAAGAAGGCAGGTAAAAGACAACGCTTTGTCTTGATCATTTGGTTGTAACTAACAAAGTGAACCCATCGTTCAACAAGTAAAAACAGGCTACATGCTAACATGTAACATTCACGAAAGCTAACATTACTGCTCGTTCTGCAGTTTCTCGGTTGGCTGATGCACAGTGTGTTTGTGTGAATAAAATGAAGGATTACCCAAGAATCAAGTGATACAGGGAGGAATGTTTTGTTGAGGGGAAGGAAGTAAGTTCCTGAGTCTTTTTTCCTCCCTCTTTGATAGTCTTTGAGTAAAAGGCACTTTGGATGAGTGTGCATGTGTGATGTGAGCTTGGGTTACCGGAACATTCTGTGCCAGAAGGACTGAAAAGCGGACGAGTTGAAGGCACCGATGAATATGAGGAGCAGGAGATACAGACCCATCATGATGGCAAAATGATGTCTGACGAGCCACGACGTCCCCCGAGCGTGTCTGCAATCACAACAAGACGTCACTTAATATTCATAACTAATTACGGGATGACACACTTTTCATTGTTCCTTTCTTTTAAGTGTGATCTACTGACAATGCTCAAATTAAAGACACAGCAGCCCATTTCCAAGATCAAAACAACCTACCATAATCACTTACACTTTTATAATCAAAATGTACAATGTACTTTTTTTTTTGGAGGGAACTATATTCTTAGCATGATTTATTTATTTTTTATTATTTAAACTGGATATGGGTCAGACAACTGGGTCCATGCAAATAAGCATGCGAGCTCAACTGCAGTCTCACCTGGATCTGTAGCGTCTCTGAGAATAAACCAGCAGGTATTTAACTCTTAAGAGCTCATTGTTGGTCACCACAAAGTACTTCTCGGGCACCTCACCACCTTCACTGTTCCTGGCCCTCAGACGCTGTCGGTCAATGCTCTCCGAGTCTGAAAACACAGTGAGTTGTAACTAGCCATGAAATGTATTTATTTTAAAAACATATCAACATCATGCTAATAGATGCTAACTTTGCTAATTCATGCTAAGGTTATGTTAACATACCAGAAATGTGCTAGCAGCCTGTTCAGGGTTTCTGCAGGTTTCACCAAGTTAAATTGAAGATTTTTTAAGTTATTTTAAGACCATTATGACTAAAATTTTAGATTCATAAAGGGCTAAAGGAATTAAGGAATTTTTCAAATGGCCTAGATGGATTTTTTTTTATTTGCCCTATCAAAAAAAAAAAAAAAATTTTTTTTTGAATACATTTAATAATACAATAATAAAATAATAATTAAAAAATAAATATTTTAGACATTTCTTAGCAAAATATAAAAAATATTGCCATCTTAAATAACCTTTACTTGTATCCATACATTTTTTTCCAACATAAACCTTCTTTAAAATATTTTTTGTTGTTTTTAAAGGTTCAGGACACCCTGGAGAACTTTTTTTTTATATTAACAGATTTGTGTGTGTTGAGAATCAGTTAAGACAATGTTAGCACCTGTCAGCTTTAATTGTGGGGAAAACTGGATAATTTTGAGCTTCCGGGTTTAAAATTATTTTTGGGGAGGGATCAAAATCGGCGACGTGGCGCAGTACTGCTAGTGAAATGATGACGCGTCGGTTTCTCATTATTCATAGCGGAGTTTTCTTATCCTATGAGAAGAGCCGGCTGCTTAATTATTCATGAGACCTGCCAGACCTGCCAGAGTCAAGCCCGAGCTGTGAGACACGTCACGGACCCACGGCACGGGCACACAGTATTTAGCCGTTCATGAAGGCTCATATGCGTTTGTTTCCATGATCCATGCGGTTTGTTGCATGTTTTCCCCCGCGATCTTGTCAGGGCCGATCATACAGCAAAGCTGTGTGTGTGCTGCTAGCATTTTTGTCGGGAGAGCAGCACGAGAATTAGAGAATGGCGGACACTGTCTTTTATCAGGACTTCGTTCACATTCAGACACATCGCCGTGCTGCTGTGTTTGCCTAAATCCTCCAGATTACCAGCAGGGCTAATGGTTAAAACAGACAGGTCAGGAGACCTGCTGCACTGAGTCTGCTGGATACGGGGATTGAGGGAGAAGTCCTCATTTATAGTGTTTACATGAACACACTTATCTTTATAATTATATAAATTGTGGTTGTGTGTATATGAAATTACGAATAAAAAATGTAGCAGGGCATTAAATCACTGTTCATTTCTTTGCATTTTAACTTTGTAAACTATAAACTCATGCGTCTCCTCACGGTTTGTCTCATTTTGTGAGCAAGCTTCGTTCGCTCACGTTCTCCCCTGCTGGCCACACCCACTCCTGCCCGATGCTTGCGGAGCGCCACGCTTATTAATCATGCATCTATTGAAAAAATTCTGAAGAAGACTTTAACCGAAAGTGGGGGGTGTCATGGCCCTTTAAACTATAATAAATTAAACCTATGCACATCAATCTGTCCAGGTCGTTGTGCTCAGCAGTAAATGCATGGAGCACTTTCAAACAAATGTTACTGTATGGAAAATAATAAACCATTATGATAAATAGAGTTAAAAATGACCTTTTTCAGATAAAAAGTTTAAAGTTTTATTGAGATTGATTATTGGTGTATAGGTTTTGGCCAAACTGGGTAGCAATACACGAACAAAGGAAAATTAAGACTTGTTTTTTTTTTTAAATTTAAACCTACAACACAATTCATTCATTCATTTTCTTGTCGGCTTAGTCCCTTTATTAATCCGGGGTCGCCACAGCGGAATGAACCGCCAACTTATCCAGCACGTTTTTACGCAGTGGATGCCCTTCCAGCCGCAACCCATCTCTGGGAAAACCAACAACACAATATTTTAGTAAATTTTAGACTTTTTAAGGCCTAAAATTTTGATTTTGAGATTTAAGACATTTTAAGACCCCGCGGATATCCTGCTGATAGTGGTTGTTGCTAAAAGCAATACAGCTGTGGTTAATGAGAATTATTTGTATTATTTATTAAGTAATCCATTACTTGTATTTATTAACATCTACCCAAACCCTAAAATATTATATTAATATAACATTATATTAATTCTGAGATTAATCTAGATAAAAAAAAATATAATCTATGCCCACCTATAATGAATATACATATAATAAATAATATGGCTAATGATAATAACATTATAATACATTATAATAAAAATACAAGTTGTCATGAATAAACTGAAAAATCCCCCCAGACATGAAGAAGGCATGGAGGAAGTGGTTTTTATATTTATGTAGTAAATAATAATTTTTGTAACTTTTTAATTCTTTCTTTTTTTCCCATATGTAAAGATATTTGTGTATTGCTGTACATCCTGTGTGTACTAAGTAAGTGCTTGAACCTGCACGGATGCAAAACAAATGTGCTCTGTGCTGGACTTGAAACCAGCTTTCACTTGGTCAATGGTGTGGTCTATTTCAGTTTCTTAAAATATCAATGCGCCAACAGTGCACCTTAATGCTGCGTTCAGACCAGACGCGGCACGCGCATCAAGCGCGAGTGATTTACATGTTAAGTCAATGCAAACACGCGAATAGACATCCTGCGGCGCGATACGCGCGAATGGCGCGGCGCGAATGACGAGAATTGCGCGAATGGCGAAAGAATTGCGCGAATGGCGAATTGAGCGTTTTGCGTTTTGATGCGCTTAACGAGCGTTTCGCGCGAATCTCTCGAGTTTGAAAATCTGAACTTCAGCGGACATTCGCGCCGCGTTAACCAATCAGAAGCTTGCTCTTGTGGGGGCGTGATTGTGACATAGAACCTGTTGATAGTGTCCCAGGGGAAATCCTCCAGGCGACACCGACAACAAGTCATCAAACTGGGTTTGGCTCAGTCAGAAGCACCGTTGAAAGCCTCCGTCATCCAGGTTCAGTTTCTGGAGGAGTTTATGAGCTCACAGAGCTGGATGCACCTCTGAAAGGATGCAGTGGATTCAGACAGGACCCTAAACGTATTGACGCTGTTTTTCAGTCTCCATAAAGCACATTAACACTGTTATTTTGTTAATAAAATCCATGTTAGCCATTTAGCTATGAAGCTAGAGTCACCGGGCAGACAGAAGCCCTGCCCATCACGCGAATCCGCGTCTGTTTTGAAGTGAATCTGACATGCGATTGAAGCGGATTTGACGCGCGAATGAAGCAGGGGTTGATGCGCGAATGAAGCGAGCAAACTTAAATGTTCATGCGGCTATTTACGCGCGAATATCGCGATTTATCCGCGCGTTCCACGTCTGGTGTAAACACAGCATAACATACTCTTTTATAGACCAGCACACCCATGAGTCCACAAAGTGTCACAAACGGATTTGCTATTTAAACAACATGGCGCAAAACATAAAAATTAGGGTTGCGCTGGTCTGAAAATAGCAACACATCAAGCCAAACATGTTTTGCGCCAGTTGTATGATAGAGCCCATACACTTTTGACAGCTTCTTATCATTTAAAGCATTACCTTTCTTCTTCACCTGACACTTCACGTCAGGATGATCAATGATTTCACACAAAGCAACGCAGCTGATGAAAGGCCCGAGGACGCTTTCCCTCCACCCGTTCCCGTGAGGACTGTAAAGGATGGCCATGCTGAGGTCACTGGTCAGGTAGGTGCCTTCCCCAAACAGTGAGGTCTGGAAATCAAATCATAATCAAAGCACATTTCTTGAGCCAATGAGCAGATAACACTGTAGACACAATTATCATATTCACAAATATTACATACACATAAACTGATAAGGGACAGTCAAACACATCAGTTAATTGTGCTCTTGATTGATAATTAAAAAACGATAGGCTGGAAAGCATCCAAAACACGCATTCACCTTTTTCTTACACCCCATAATGCTTTGCATGAATGAAATTCCATTAAACTTTAAACAAATGAGAGCAGTGTTTAGAAAACTGAGGTGTCATTATAATCCTCACAGTTCATCCATCAAATTTTATAAAAAGCAACTTATTAGAATGAACAAATGACTTTCTGCAAGCATTGAATGACCATAATAACTCAAAACAAGCCTTTCCACGGCAATATTATGGATTTATTTTGAATATTACTGTAGTGCAGGGAATACAAAAATAAAATAACTTTGGGAAAACTTAAAAAACAAAGAGTAAGGCCATAAAATCTCTGGCCCAAGATATCCTTGTGACACTAATGTCACATTTAAAGTTCTATCATTTTTTAAAACCTATTCAGCTCATCTCTATGTCTTTAAGGATCTCTTTTCATTTAGCGTAGCTTAGCTTAACATAGATTCTTGAATCGGATTAGACCATTAGCATTTAGCTCAAAATGAAAAATAGTTTTGATAGTTTTCCTATTTATTGTTGAACTCTTCTGTATTTACATTGTGTGTTAGGGTTGACGGAAAATGAAAAGTTGCTATATTCTAGGCCTATATGGCTAGGAACTATACTCTCATTCCGACGTAATAGTCAAGGAACTTTGCTGCCGAATCATGGCTGCAGCAATGATGAATAAGCAGCATCTGAAAACAGTCCCCAGCACCAAGGCCAAGACTTGCAGCACCAGTAAGAATCTGTGTAATATCACTGCCCCTGCTGCAGCCATGATTTTTTGAGAGAGATGCTAATGGTCTAATCCATTTCAATTACTTATGCTAAGCTAAGCTTAACATGCTCCCGCCAGACCTAGAGATTAGATGAATGGATTCAAAAATGATAAAACTCAACTTTTTACCTCTAGAGTACTTGTAAAATGATTCTATTCTCCAAAAAAGAGGAGTGTTCCTTTAGGAAAAAACAAAACAAAAATGCTTCAGGCTTGACTTTTTGGTTTAACGCGCCGTTAAAAAAAATGGTCTGACCACTGAGATTAGTGTGTTTGTTCACATCTCTTCAACTGCTGAAATTTTAGCTTAGCTTAGCATAGATAATTAAATCAGATTAGACCATTAGCATTTAGCTCAAAATCAAAAAGTGCTTTGCTAATTTTCCTATATTTAAAGTTTGACTCTTCTGTATTTACATTGGGAGCTAAGGTAGACGGAAAATGAAAAGTTACTATTGTCTAGGCTGATTTGGCTAGGAACTATACTTTCTCTATCCATACATAGCCGCAGCAGGAGCAATGATAATAAGCATCTGAAAACAGTCCCCAGCACCAAGGCCTAGACTTGCAGAACTAGAAAGAATCTGTTTAATATCACTGCCCCTGCTGCAGCCATGGTCGGACAGATTTTTTGAGCGAGAGGCTAATGGTCTAATCCATTTCAATTATTTATGCTAAGCTAAGCTTAACATGCTCCCTCCAGACCTAGAGATTAGATGAATGGATTCAAAAATGATAAAACTCAACTTTTTACCTCTAGAGTACTTGTAAAATGAGTCTATTTTGCAAAAAAATGGAGTGTTCCTTTAGGAAAAAACAAAACAAAAATGCTTCAGGCTTGTCTTTTTGGTTTAACGCGCCATGAAAAAAATGGTCCGACCACTGAGATTGGTGTTTTTGTTCACATGCCTTCAACTGCTGAAATTTTAGCTTATAAAATTTTTGCTTTCATCTGAAAACAGTCCCCAGCACTAAGGCCTGGACTTGCAGAACTAGAAAGAATCTGTTTAATATCACTGCACCTGCTGCAGCCAGATTTTTTGAGCGAGAGGCTAATGGTCTAATCCATTTCAATTATTTATGCTAAGCTAAGCTAGAGGCCTAGAGATTGCATGAATGAATTCAAAACCAACTTTTTAATTCTAGGGGAGTTGTAAAATGAGTCTATTTTCCAAAAAAGTGGAGTGTTCCTTTAGGAAAAAAACTAAACAAAAATGCTTCGGGTTTGTCTTTTTAGTTTAACACGCTGTGATAACAACAGTCCGACCACTGAGATTGGTGTCTTTGTTCACATGCCTTCAACTGCTGAAGTTACAGCAGGGTGATGACTTCTTCTGTACAACATGTGAGTGTCAATAGCATAAAGTTGTGCAGCGCAGCTTGTTTTTGCATTGTTTTTCCTTTACTGCCATCTAAGGTCAGAGAGTGATTTTTTTTATGTTCACTCGGCTCATGGCCAGTGAAAATCACTTGGGTATGAATGCCAAATACATCTCGAAAAGTGAGCCTTGACACTTCATATTTATGGACTAAAATAAAGCACTAAGCAAAATATACCAGTTATTATTATGAATATGGATTATGTGTAGCACAGTCATATTATTTTAAGGGAAGTTTCACAAACCAGAAGTGCAACCTATAATTTAAAACACAAAAGTCAGGTGTAAATAAAGTAGGAAAATAGATTGTCATCCACAAACACACATCGCTCTCATTCTGACCTTATTGAGATGGCAGTGTAATCCGTTGTGTATGATGGAGTGGAAGTTCTCTAGTCTGCTGCCGTGGAATGCATAGATGAGGTCTCGGCCGGCCCGCGTCCGCTCAAACTTAGAGTTGAGCAAATCACAGTACTGCAGCTCAAAGAGGAAGTCTGGGGCTGGAGCTGAAACCCCCTCTCTCTGAGCCAGCTGGCTGAGTCTGGCAAACTGATGGAGCGAGATTAAACACAAGACAATGAGTTTATCAACACTAAAGGGGCTCTGTCTAAATAAGAGCTCATTGCAGCGGCGGTGAAAAACTGATCAAGAAATCGATTCTGCATGCATTCTGAGATTTTAATGTATTCCTATTCTCTTAAATCAATACTGAGCGTAGTTTTTAACAGCAGATGACGCTGTATGATTTACAAACAAGTCTTACTTTGCTTGCATCCAATTCCTTACACATACCCCGTGCCATTAAATAATGTTAAGAAAGGTTTATTCAGTTTACAAGACTGTTCATAGTGAGCTGTGTTTACATTTATCTCATGCCATTACAGCTAACTCTTAAGCCTAAAGCACAAGCACTCTTTTTAGTGAGCATTTTAGTGTATGGTTAAAAAAGGGGTAAAAAACAAGCGCCATCTGCTGTTAAAAACTAGCCCAGAGCACCATATGTGGTTAAAAACTAACCTAGAGCTCCATCTGCTGTTAAAAACTAGCCCAGAGCGCCATCTGCTGTTAAAACTTAGCCTAGAGTGCCATCTGCTGTTAAAAACAAGCCCAGAGCACCATATGCGGTTAAAAACTAACCTAGAGCTCCATCTGCTGTTAAAAACTAGCCCAAAGCGCCATCTGCTGTTAAAACTTAGCCTAGAGTGCCATCTGCTGTTAAAAACTAGCCCAGAGCACCATATGTGGTTAAAAACTAACCTAGAGCTCCATCTGCTGTTAAAAACTAGCCCAAAGCGCCATCTGCTGTTAAAACTTAGCCTAGAGTGCCATCTGCTGTTAAAAACTAGCCCAGAGCACCATATGTGGTTAAAAAGTAACCTAGAGCTCCATCTGCTGTTAAAAACTAGCCTAGAGCACCATCTGCTGTTAAAAATTAGCCCAGAGCGCTATCTGCTGTTAAAAACTAGCCTAGAGCACCATCTGCTGTTAAAAACTAGCCTAGAGCGCCATCTGCTGTTAAAACTAGCCTATAGCGCCATATGCTGCTAAAAACTAACCTAGAGCGGCATCTGCTGTTAAAACTAGCCTAGAGTGCCATCTGCTGTTAAAAACTAGCCTAGAGCGCCATCTGCTGTTAAAACTAGCCTAGAGTGCCATCTGCTGTTAAAACTAGCCTAGAGCGCCATATGCTGCTAAAAACTAACCTAGAGCGGCATCTGCTTTTAAAACTAGCCAAGAGTGCCACCTGCTGTTAAAACTAGCCTAGAGTGCCATCTGCTGTTAAATCTAGCCTAGAGTGCCATCTGCTGTTAAAAACTAGCCTAGAGCGCCATATGCAGCTAAAAACTAACCTAGAGTGCCATCTGCTGTTAAAAACTAGCCTAGAGCGCCATATGCTGCTAAAAACTAACCTAGAGTGACATCTGCTGTTAAAACTAGCCTAGAGTGCCATCTGCTGTTGAAAACTAGCCGAGCACCATCTACTGTTAAGACTAACCTAGAGCGCCATCTGCTGTTAAAAACTAGCCTAGAGCACCATATGCTGCTTAAAAACTAACCTAGAGTGACATCTGCTGTTAAAACTAGCCTAGAGCACCATCTGCTGTTAAAAACTAGCCTAGAGTGCCATCTGCTGTTGAAAACTAGCCGAGCACTATCTACTGCTAAAACTAGCCTAGAGCCACATCTGCTGTTAAAAATTTGCCTAGAATTCCCCTTGCTGTTAAAAATTAGCCTAGAACGCCATCTGCTGTTAAAAATTAGCCCAGAGAGCCACTTGCGGTTAAAACTAGCCTAGAACACCAGCTGCTGTAAAACTAGCCTGAAGCGCCATCTGCTGTTTAAAACTAGTCTAAAGCGGCATCTTCCGTTAAAAACTAGCTTAGAATGCCACCAGGAATTAAAACTAGCCTAGAGCGCCACCTGCTGTTTAGAACTAGCCTAGAGTGCCATCTGCTTTAAAACTAGCCTAGAGCCCAATCTGCTGTTAAAAACTAGTCTAGAGTGTCACTTGCTGCTAATAATTAGCCTAGAGCACCACATTCTGTTAAAAATTTGCCTAAAGCACCATCTGCTGTTAAAAACTAGCCAAGCCTAGAGTGCCATCTGGAGTTAAAACTAACCTAGAGCAACACCTGCTGCTAAACACTAGAGTGTTACCAGCTGCTAATAATTACTCTAGAGCACCATCTGCTGTTAAAAACTAGCCTAAAGCACCACGTGCTGTTAAAAATTAGCCTAGCCTAGAGTGCCACCTGGAGTTAAAACTAACCTAGAGCGCCACCTGCTGTGTTAGAGACTAAGCTCAGAATCTATTCAGAGGGAACAGCGATGCATTTAGAAAAACACTTTTTTAATACCTCCTCTTTCTGCAGAGTCTTCACAGCGAAGCTCTTGGAGGACAGAACCCAGTGCACAAGAGCCATATGATGATCTCCATCACCATGTCCGAGGCGAACCAGATCTCTCACGTTTGGCAAACTGTCCACATCTTTTTGCTGTGAGAAACATGAAAGAGTCAAAACTGAGAATCAAAAACTAAGTCGGAGAGCTCAAATTTCTTGAATAATTTTACCAGCTCTTCAAAGTCCTTGATCTCTCCTCTCAGGTAGCGAGGAGGGAAGGGTCTGAGCACCGAATCATGTTTGTAGCTCTGGACGGCAGCCACGAAGAGACTGCAGCGCAGATCTGCCGCTACAGGGTCTCGATGTAGACAGGAGCAAACCAGCTCTCTGACTGCCGCTGCGGGGAGAGGCGGCTGCATACCCAGCACTGAAACACAACAGATATTACAGCAAAAAAACCAACCGTAATGTTATATCAGAAAGGTATACTGATAAATGGGTCAAAGGCAACAATAAACACAACACAGTGACATTACTGGGATACACTAAAACAATATTTAATTGTCTTTTTAAATTGTAATACTGCTACTATCCTTCAAACCACTAGGTTTAAAATATAATAAAATGATTTGATTTGAATTGATTTATTTATCATTTCAACAGGGTCGAAAATGGAGTGGGATAAAGCACAAGCTTATTATTTTCCCACCACATTACCGCATACATCATTCGTGTATTACTTAAAGGGCCATGAAACCCCCCTGATTCAGCAGGGTGATTTCACACTTCTAGTTTTGAAAAAGGCAGGTCAGTGGGTGTGTCTAGCTCTGTCTGGGTGGGAGTGTCGAGGGAGGGAAAAGGGGAAGAATTTGCATAAAAATGGGAGTTTCCAATTGGGCACATGCTGATTTTCACCGAGGAAAAACAAACACACACGCAGGGGAGAAAGACAGTGACTGTGTTTAATGACGGCGGAATGTTTAATACCGCACGTCGTAAAACTGGGTGTGTGTAGACAATCCTGTCACAAAATGCAGCAAAAATTAAACACGACGGTCGGCAAGAGTCTGCTTTCAGTGTGCACATGTTTACACTCGGAGAGCAGCATTTAAAGCAGATCTTTCAGTCCATAATATTGTAGAGATATTACGTAAACTAAGTAACTTAGAAATTATTTTGACTAAGGTCTGTCTTTAAACACTGAAAGAGTACTGCTGACCATACAAACTATAACTTTGCCATCTGAATGAACAAAGAAAGAGCACTAATCGCACACAAATTTACTAAATCTGTAGAGACAAGACAATCAACACCAACTAGAGCTGCCTCTTTTTTTTTAAAGGAGACGAGCAGCAAATACGGATTTCACAATTTCCAGATGAGAAAAGCTCTCGAGTAAAAAATGTTCCGTACAAGCGTATTTCTGCTGCGCGACGCGTGCACTGTAATCAGTTTCAGTTTCCTTTATTTATGTCATTCAAATCATCACAATAGAATTGTAATGCAGAACGAAATTACGTTGCAACAGACCCAACAAGAACATAAAAAACATCACTATAAAAACACTATAAAATCCTAACATGATAAATAAGCTTTTATAATTCCATAAAATATATAATTATATAAGATACAACCCATTTTTAAAAATCTCTGAAGAGAATAACTTAATACTTAAATACCTATTTCACCATTTGTTGTAATATTAACAATTTATGCTAGTTTAACAAATTTATATATTATTTAACACTAGCTTTTAACAATGCTTAAGAAATGGTATTATTTAAAAGTCTTATAATGACAGGATAAAAACTATCTCGAAACCGCACTGATTTGCTCCTCAGACTTCTGTAACGCCTGCCTGATGGCATGAGTGAGAGCAGGCTATGACCAGGGTGGGTTGGATCCCCTAAAATGTTATTTGCCCTAGACAGACAACGGCGTTGGTAAAGTTCCTCGATAGATATCATTTTGACTCCAACAGACCTTTCAGCTGACTTTATGATCCTCTTAATGGTGTTCTTATCAGACACACTGCTATTCTCATACCAAAGGGAGATGCCATTTGTAAGAACACTCTCAACAGCTCCTCTGTAAAAAGTTGTGAGGATTGATTGGCTGAGATGTGCTCTTTTCAACCTTCTCAGAAAGTGCAGTCGCTGGTGCGCTTTCTTCGCAAGACAAGGGGTATGGAGAGACCAAGTCAGGTTATTAGTAACAATTAGTAATTAGTAATCCACACGCGAGTCCAGCTGTGCTCTCATAAAGAGTAAATGAAAACAAAACCTTCAAAGCAGCACATTATAAAAGCAACACTGACGACTCGCATCTCCAAACAATTCTTATTCTTTTCCCACTTCTTATGGCAACACAACGTGGCGTCTCTGCTGTCAGAACACCGTTTCATTTACAGTCTTCGAAGCTAGCATGCATATAAATGAAGTTGCATCGCATACATAATAGAGCGTGCTGATTGGTTTGAACCAAGTCTTACTCATGAAATAATGCAACACACTCAGAGACATAATACGGTACTCCCAGGAACAGACGCTGGAATACACGCAAAGATCTCATGGCCGTGACGCAGCTTCAAAAATTAGTTTCAAACCGAAAGTACGAATTTGCAAAAAACAATTTTCACTGTTGTTTAGTGAAATATATGTATCCTAATAGTGTTTATAGCAGTGTGTGACACATATACGACAACAGCTCAAATAATGTGTTTTGGTGTTTTAAACCCTTTAAACTTATTTCTTCTTTTACTTGTCTCTTCTGTTTTTACATAGGACATATTTTATCCTTTTGGCATCTTTGACAAATTATGTTTGATTCTATTTGTACCTTAACATTTTGTAACATAAACATCAAAAAAATACAGTACTGCAAATAGCCATTAATTCCTTTTTCAATCTCCTTCATCATTATATTCCTTTAATAATATTTATTTTTACAACTTTTTAAATTGTTTGAGAGTCTGATTTAGACTGTTTCATAATTTCACACCACAGACAGATATACATAAACTTTTTAAAGTTGTCCTTGTTTTCAACCTCCTAGAACTGTGTTCTTCTCTCAGATTATATCCCCTTTGTCTTTCTACAAAAAACGTTTGTATGCATTTTAAAGTAATTTATTCCTAGCTTTAAACATTAATTGTGTTGTTTATTTAACCGAATCATTGAACTCAAGTATCTTTAATTTAAAAAATATATATATTATTTGTATGCTCCAAATCCCCCCACATGTTCTGTCAGTCTAATTACTTTTTTCTGCATTGTACATATGGATCGTAAATTAGATTTATATGCACTCCCCCAAATTTCAACACAATAACTCATATATGTCAATGGAGTACCATCATTTTTTATTTTTCACATTTTGACATTGTTGAGCAGACACTTCCATTCATTTACTTCTAGGCAAACAAAGTCACTGCTTTTATGCACATAAAATCTGATTCAAACCATTATATTTGTAAATTCACAATAATGTATAATAATAATAATAATAAAAAAAAATACAACACTGCAATTAAACCACAAACTAAAGAGACACATGGATACATAGATTATATATATTTGTTTGTGTGTATGTGTATTTATAAATTATAAATATATACATTAATAATATTTTATTCCATTTAGTTATCAAGGTAGTTTTCTCACATATAGTTAGTTTAATATGACTAACAAAATTAACTTAAATTTAAACAACAAAGTAATGAAACGAACAAAAATATTTAAATATATATATACAAACAATCACAACGGGAAAAAAATGAAAAAAACTACAACGGAAACTATAGCTGATTTAAACTAAAATAACAATATGCAAACTAATGTAAACATAGTGGGACTGGTAGCTAAGCTAAGTTAGCACATTAGCTGCTAACAAAGTTGTTGTCATCTAACAAGCCAAACCACAATATAAAGTTCCCCACTATTAGGTAATTAACTTATAGTCCTCGAAAGCGAGCCTGTTTAATCCAGTGGCTCGTTTAATAGTCGGTTTATTCAGCTCTGTTGTGTTTGTTTACTAAGCATGTTAGCTGGCTAGCTCATCAATAATCGTTGAAGTAATTCAGGAGCTTAAGGACACCGGCGATCTAAAGTCAAAACACTCATCCCTCTACATTTAAATAGGTGAACATTTGTTAAACATTTATTTTACTCTTATGGCATGCACCTTACCTTGTGGGCCTGAAGTTCAGGCATCTGACAGCCACCGGAAGCTAAAGGTGTCCAACTGCTGCTGCGCATGCGCTGATTCTACCAGCAGGAGCCGCCAAACATAAACAACTCACAGGGGTCTGCATATTTTTATTTATTTATTTATTTTATTTATTTTTCATTTTTGCAAAAAGTTTACATCACAAAACAGGGAACAATCAACATCGCAAGGCATATTTACCAATAAAATAAATTAAAATTGTTACAACTGCAACAAGGAGCAATACAAAAGATCTACATCAAAGGAAAAAAGCAAAACATTATAACAATAAATATTCTGCAAATGAAGTACAGAGAGCTTCAGTTATTTTACTTTTTCTGAAGTATTTGAAGCTTTGAGCCACTTTCTCTGCCTCAGAAAGAAAACATCTAAAAGAGGGTCTGCTCTTTTTCTACTTACAACAATGAATATGATAATTGCCCATTAGTAAAATAAAGTTCACAACATCAGAGGAAGAAAAGTGGAAATCACCTTTGTAAAATAAAATATCTTCTAGAACAATTGGATGGACGGAAATCATCTTTAATGAAAGCCAAGTATAGATGTCAAACCAGAATTTAAAGTAACTCACAAGAAAAAAATAAGTGATCGAGTGTTTCTGGAAAATTTGAGCAGAAGCTACACTTGTCAACATCAAAGTTAAATCTTTTTTAAATAAACTCATTCACAGGATATATCCTACATAAAACTCTGTAATGAGTTTCCTTATCCTTATAGGTGCTACAGGATTTTTAAGATAAAAGGTATTTTCCTCTAAAGGTTCAACAACTCCTAGGGGTGTCAAACTTATTTTATCTCAGGGGCCACATGGAGGAAAATATTTCCCCAAGTGGGCCGGATCAGTAAAATCAGGGTGTATATAACTTAAAAACAACAACTTTATTTTTTTTTAAATATATTCAACATAAAACATAAAGCTTGAGCGAGAGGACAACACAATCACAGCAATTTGTAACTTTTTGATTTGGCTATTCATCTATTCATTGCTACGCCTCTGCTTTAAGTAACACGTGGTGCAACCTGATCTATATAGACCAGTGGCTGCAACTGAAGTAAGCACAAATTTAGATACAAGCTGGTTGTTCTTAGGCTTTAGAGTGGACTTTATGTTCCAGTTTAAAAAAGAAGTCACGAACAGCTGGAGCAACTCTACCCAGGTAAATAAAAATATAGATTATATGATTGCTGGTACTTAAATAATATATGTTTAGTTAATCAGCTGATAGATGATGGTCAGTTTTGTTGGGGCTTCACTAAAGAGCGTCAATACGATACCTAACAATATAACAGACCTTCTGAGAGTAACAGACAGCTAATCTTATTTCCAAGTAATTTTCTAGGCTACTGTTTTAGTTGAAGTTTGTCTATTCCATAATCTTCAATTGAATAGACAAAACTGAACCATATTAATTGGAATTTAGTTGGACTCTTCCTCACAGATATAAACCAACCAGAAGGCACAAAAATATAAGACGTAGAAGCTAGGAATAATTTACTTCTGTATATTTACAATATTTAATACATGCGTTTTTGTGATCTAGAAGAGACTGCATGTTTAAAATGTATTATTACTCGTCATAAGTATGTTGTTCTATTTGCAACTATATTTTAACATGAATTTTAAAAAGAGAGTGAATATTACGCAGTGATTGATGCTGTACACACTTTATTTCTATTCAATTTCAATAGAAACAGAGTATGTACACCAGTCACTGCATAATGATCTATGGCAGTGGTTCTCAAACTGTGGTACGTGTACCACTAGTGGTACTCAGGCTTCCTTCTAGTGGTACGCAGAGGAATGAAATATGTCAAGTACATGCTACACACATTTTACAATTTATCAAAAATGATGTATATAATATGCCATATATGACATATAGCCTATATTTCTGAGGTAATTTGCCCCGTTTTTTTTACTGTGCTGAGTTGTAGCAGCTTTACTGGGCCTACTATGCCTCTGTATTTTAATACTGCTCATTGTGGTGGTACTTGAAGAGACAATTATTTTCTGAGGTGATGAAAAAAGTTTGAGAACCACTGATCTATGGTAATGGTCTTTGTTTTCTGTCTTTTTCTTATGCCATATAGGTACAACATGGAGCATCTATGACACTTATCATAGATGTGAGAAGCACTTTAGGACTTAGGGCTGAGTTCTCGTTTCGTTGTAACGTTATAGAGCACTTAATATTATTGGCAGAAGAATCTTGAAGATCAATTATGTATGAAAAAATCAGGTCAGCATTTTGCTGAGGGATAGATTCTGAAAAAAGCCCAGCGAAAAGGCCAGCTGGCCTAGAATCTTCCATGAAATTAACAAAAGATGCGATCTGCTCTGCACAACAGTTAGTTAGCTTTAAATAGTGTTCTATATTTTAATCATTTTTATTTGAGATTTCTACATTTTCATCTAAAATTTGCCCTGAAGTTATAAATGAAGTGAGAAATATGATCACATATGAATGAGTGAATTAAAATGTAAAATTGTCCTTTACGTGTGGTGTATATACTATTCATTCATTCATTGATTTTTAGCTTAGTCTCTTTATTACAGTTGTTTGGATTGCTTAAGCACGATTTTCAAAACACAATAACCCGTGTTATCAGAACAGTACACACAGTTAGCACAACCACTCACTCAATTAGCAAAACACTACATATCCTTTGCATAATTAAACACTCTTGTAAAACTATACACTTATGTTTAAATAACACACTTTTTTACCATAAAAAAACTCATTTATTTCTCAACATGCCTCAACATACTTGATTTACAATACAGTATTGTACTGTAAGTTACTGTTATATATACAGGTATATATATATATATATATATATATATATATATATATATATATATATATATATATATATATATATATATATATAGTCAATAATAAAAAAAGTATTTGGGTTAGAACAACCATTTGTTTTTTACCATCAAAACACAAGCCTCTCCTACAAATGAGCACTGGAATTATGTACGTCGGATCTGTGGTTTCTCTGCAGTGTTGCTAAAAGTGCCAGGAGTAAAAATGTTACTATGTACCCCACCTGCGGGGCAAGTTGTAACAGACAGAGGGTTAGTTGTAACGCATGATTAAAAAGGCAGATTACACACATTTAATTTAAATTTAGTTTACTTTTACAGGTAGCTTTATTTCCTCATTACTTAGCTCAATTTTTTGCATTCTACATTGCACAGTATGTTTATTCATTTATTGGATAAAAACATTTGGATTTATATGTATTATTATACATTATTATACAATGCATTTATTTGTAGTATTAGCAATAAAATATTTTTTTTGTCTATAAAAAAACATTTTTTTATTTAAAAAGTTCTCAACATTACACTAAAAAAAAAAAAATTTGTTAGTTTAATTGGTGTTCAACAGTGTATGGCTTAATTGTTACACCCTGTTACAACTAACCCTGCTGTGTCATGTTTTCTTCAAAACCCAGTTGGCAGTCACTGTGTGTTATTTACATCTTTCAAAATGGTTTCATCTTTTAGACTAGAAGACGGTGATCAGAACAATATAAGATTTCACGTTAATAAAAATATTTTTTAAATATATATATAATACAATATATTTGATATATTATATCTAATTTTATGCTGCATACTGCTCTTGTGTCTCTCATCCAAATTTCGCCAAACTTTTTCAATAATTGGCAGGCAGACATCTGCCAACACTGTGGTGAAAACCTCTGAAGCATTGAGCAAATACCTTAAAACTCTGTGTTACATTTAACCCTGCGTTACTTTGTGCCCCGTGCTCATATATATATATATATATATATATATATATATATATATATATAAACATTGTCATTTTCGAACATTTATTTTGGTCAGAAAAAAATAATTGTTATTGAAAATCCACATTATTTCACCAAATATTCTTCTGTATGTTAAAACATTAGTATTGTGTTGTCAAGTAAAGACATCACACCTTTTTTTGTTTGTTGTTTTGCGCAAATAAAATACTCTTAGTTACATTTTATTTTACATTTTGAAGAAATGCAACAAGCAGTTCACAGAATAAAACCAAAACTACAGACTTATACAAATTCAAAACTATTTTCCTCAAATACAGAATTACACTGTAAACCCAAAACATTAAGGTAACTCAAACCATTTGAGGAAACCGATTGCAACAAACCATTTAAGTTCAAAAGCTAATCCTAATGAGTGCTGTGAACTTAACCCATCTGAGTAAACAAAGCAATTTGAGCACAGTAAACGCCAATAAATGAAGAGAACTCAAACCAACTGAGTACTGTAAAACGCAGTAAGTAAAGTCAACTCAAAGCATTTGAGGAAACCGATTGCTATAAACCATTTGAGTAAAAAAAACCTAATAGTATCTGGATGCAGCCTTTATGATGCAAGCTGAGATTGCATCACTCAGCGATGCAATGTCAGACACAATGCACTCAAATGGAGTGAGTGACGTCACTGTGATGGGTAGGGTTAGGGGTGGGGTTAGGTGAGCCCATTAAAAAACATTGGATGCAGCTCAGATTGCACTGCACCAGGTCTGCATCCAGACCCCTCTCAAAAAAACAAATCTTTATGAGTACAGTGAACTTACTCTATTTAAATTGAAGTAATGAGGTATTTGATTAACTAATTTCCTTCAACACTGAGTTCAAAACTCTTTTCAAATGAGTAGAATGAACTTTCAGTCAATTTTGAGTTAACTATACTCATTTCATTTGATAAAGTTGACTGCTGGCCTTTACAGTGCATAAATCGTAAATCCAGAGGAGCTGAGAATTGTCCAGTGATCTTTTATTTTTCCCACAGCAGCATCTTCTCCTTCAGTACCACGGAGAGGTCTGGGTCGAGTGAAGGAATGAAGTATCGCGAGGTTTGATGCCTCACGATCTGCTGGACTCATCATCATCATCATCACAAGCTCATCCTAGATGCTCGGCGACGCGCGTGCGTGTGTAGGAGTACCGTGACGTGATTGTTTTCACTCCCATCACCTCATAATATAATATAACGGATTTGTAAAACCTCGCCATCACAATCACGTCGATCATTGAAAGTAAAAGTGGTTCATTAGGTGCGAGAGGGCGCGAGCAGCGGGAACACATTTTGGGTGAACGCGCGAGAAGGTAAGGGAACGGTCTCCAGCGATGCTTTTCACTGTCCTGCTGGTGTTTCACCAAATATGTGCACTCTGAACGGATTTATTACGTTTTGGACGATCGAACAAAACAAAAATGCCTGCAATATTTTAGCCTGCTCTGTTGAATCAAACACCTCCCCGTTCAGCACCATCTTTTTCTCGTGAAGGGCGCTCTGCTCGACCTCGATACGGCTCCGAAATGAATGAAAACGCGCTGGAAAATGTTATTTCGCTGCCGTTTCCTCTTTATCCACTACTGTTCTACGTTTTATAACAACTCTGCGCTGAATATAAGCTTAGAATAGCTAGTTATCAGTGGATATCGAGGCTATACACCACCCCGGCGACATGCCCTTCACATTTCAACAGGGTTTGGCGATATAAGAGGTAGAAAATCTACCATTTGAAATACAAATAGATTTTTTTTCACTAAGTGCTAAGGATGATCAGTAAACGGTAACCCCAAAGAATAACTGGTTAAATTATGTTCGCTATATGAATTAAGGTTTGCTAATATTCGCTAATACAACAGAGTATTGCTAATATTAGCTATTTACATGCTTAAATCAGTCACTCTTAATAAACTCTAATACTGTCCATTTGATAGCTGTATGTGGTGAAACAATGATAATGCAGTTACCAGGCCTCATAAACCTGTTTTGCTTTCAGATCAATGTTAATAATGTAATAACAGTCAAAAGTTACAATGTAATAATCACTATTTTACCTCCAGAATATATCGAACGTTATTACTCAGAATTGAGCAATATTAGTTTTATTTAGTATCATGTGCATGAATTACGTTAACTCGATTGACAAATACAGATTTTTTTTTTAATATTCCAGTATTAATCAGAATGGCATATTAATCATACGGAGAATTGTCATGGAAAATAAATATATTCTCATTGAATTGTAATTTTTAATATCATGTGTCTATATATATATATATATATATATATATATATATATATATATATATATATATATATATATATATATATATATATGTATATATATATATATATTTACACTTTAATTTTCTTCTTCTTTGTATTGTATTGTATTCTGTTCTAAAATATATTCTTTTTTCAATGTCTGGGTAAAAAACAACAACTTATTCCCCTTTGAACACAACATATTTTTTTTGTTTCAAAAACACAGCTTTCTTTACAATTTAAAACAACATCTTTAAATATCTTTTCTGCTGGAGATAGTGTTTTCCTAAAAACAAAACGTAAATAAAAAAAAATCGTACACTTACCTTAGGAACGGTATAGCAGAAAATTTTGGTGGTTTTAAAACCTTGACTTTTCCAAACTCCAGTAAACCTTGAAAACGGTTATTGTCCCATGCCTACTTCCCATGTTTTACTGTTTATAGTTGTTCTTGTTACAGGGAAGAAAATACATATCATATGCAAGATCTGTAAGTCTCTTTCTGTATGAGAGATAATGTAAGCTATATATGTATTTTCTTTTGGAAACTCCAAAAAAAAAAAAGAAAGAAAAAAAGAAAAAAAAAGAAAATGAACATATTCCTAAATGTATTTTAGGGTGTAAAACAATCAAGCTATTTTAGTCAACATCATGTTAGTTTGTGGGACAACTTGTCCCTCCAAGAAATTCATTAAAAAAAATAATAATAATTTCATGCTTTTTAAAATATTATATTATATGCCAAGTGTAAATGAAATGTTTATGAGTGCCTGCGAAGCAAACGAAAATAAATGCAATTTATTTGTCTCCTAAAAGAAACAATTGATTCTGAACTGGCAAAACAAATTTATCAACAATTTTGGCTTTAATTTTCTGAACAACATCTATTATGAACTAGGGCTGCTCAATACATATGAAAATGTAGGGCTGTAGCTATTGATTATTTTAATAATTGAGTATTCTACCAATAATTCCTTCGATAAATGCAGTAATCAGCTAAAAGGTATAGTTTTTTTTCTTTATTAAAGAGCAAAATTAACTCTACCAGAGAAAATAAATCAGGGCTCTTGTTTTTTTAAATCAGTTTTATGTATTTAATTGTTAAACTTGCGTACATTAAAATCTGATACAACTAAACCCCCTTTATTGGTTTAAATTGGCATCTTACATACAAGATACAAATAGGGCTGCACAATTCTGGCTAAAATGACTATCGTGATTTTTTTTTGCTGAAAATAAAGATCACAAGTTTCTCACGAGTTTCTGTAGTTGTAAAATAAAGGTGAATATGAGTAGGCTGTTATTATTGTTATTTCTTAAGCATATGATGAAAAAGCAATAATAATATTGTGTACGTCTACTGTTAGTTAAAATGCTAAATTTTGTATAGAGTTGGAATAGTGGACTTGAATAGACTTTAAATTTGTCCTGGTCGTTAACCTCCTAGGACTTAGTGGCCATATACGTGGACAGCTTATGTGTTATGTTTTATATTTTGTTACAGACATACAGTGCTATCCTGTAACTGTTTTGCAGCATATGAAATGTCCAACACAATCTTACGGCAATTCATATCTTTTTGATTTAGTGGCTATTTCGTATGAATTTGTACGATGTAATTCGTACAATTTAGCACGACTTGCTCATCCCCCCATGACGGTTGGGTTTTGGGGTGGGGTTAGGTGCCACGCCTCCCTTTTAAAGTCGTACAATTTCGTAAGACTAAACTCGTACGAATTAGCCACTAAATTGGCAAGACGTAAAATACTTACGTTTTTATGGATAAAATGATCCCAGCAAACAATTTAATCTCAATGTTGATAGCTTGGCTTAAACAAGGCTAAGCTGTCAGTGAAAATCTAATAGACATTTAAGAATAGCCCCAAACTAGACTAGTCATCAAATTGACAGACTTCATATGTGTAATCATTTATTTCTGTTTATTTGATGACTAGTCTAGTTTTGGCCTATTCTTAGATGTCTATTAGATTTTCACTTAGAGTCCAAATTTAGTCTTGTTTTAGTCACGGCGACTATGTTTAGGCGCCTATCAGACATCTCTAAATTTATATAAAACTCGTAAATGAGAATCAAAATCAGAAAATAAGGGTAAAACTTAAATGACATTGTTTCTGTATTATTATTCTTAAGCCCTACATTTGAAAATACTGTATTCATGGTCAATGTTACAGGTTCTGAAGGGTCATGGACATTATGTCTGTATTTCTAAATAAGGAACAGCATCATTTGCTTTATTTGTGAAGCAGTTACACTGAAAAAAAATATTTATTGGATTTACTCCATTTTTTAAGATTGCAAACAATTTATATGGACTAAATTTAAACAAACAAATTAAGTTAAACATCACTAAATATTATTTGTTAATTCAGCCCATGTAAATTGTTTACCTTTAAAATATGGAAAATCCAATGAATAATTTTTAGCAGTGTAGTTCATACTTATGCTTATGCAAGGTATTCCATTGTTGCCTGTTTGTGTGTTTTTACTTTGCAGATAAGCTGGAGTATATTTGATAATGCTACTGCAGTATTAGAAACTTCTTAAGTGCCTTTAATGTGTGTTTCTTTAACAGGTTTCTAAACAGTAAAGTTTGACGGTGATCTGAAAAGAATCTCCATGGCAGGTGAGAGCTTATAACTCAAACCAAACTGAATTGTTACCATGCTCTAGTACAGGGGTGCACAAACTCAGTCCTGAAGGGCCGATGTCCTGCAGAGTTTACTTCCAATTCCAATTAGACACACTTGAACCAGCTAATCAAGCTAATTCTAGGTATACTAGACACTTCCAGGCTGTTGTGTTGAAGGATGTTCAAGCTTAATGCCTAATTCACATAGGGCTTCAGCATCAACGCTTGACGGAGAAGTTGGGGCTGACGTGATCGTCATAGCAGAGTCAGCCAATTACATAGGCTGGCTACTGTCTGAGCTAGGGTATTTGCAAAAAGCAATCTGATTGGCTGATGTTTCTGTTGGTGCTTGAAAAATTGACTTCTGCCCAACTCCTGCAGTGAGCAACGGAGCTGAATCGGCGCAGATCACAATTCAGTTTAGCAATGCTTAACGTCACCCATTCAAATGAATGGGAAGCATTGGCACTAAAGCCCTGTGTGAATGGGGTGTAACTATCCTGGGGTGCCTTTCCCAAAACTATCGTTAGCCAACTAAGGTTGCAAGTTCCGTCGTTACAAGCATAGTTTGTTGATTTGCCGTTTCCCAAATCGGTCGTTCCAACGAACATTCGGAAGCACTTGAGTGCTCGCAACTACAGCTCTGGAGCTTTAGTTTAAAACATAGTTTCTGGCTGTGTTCTGTTTCCACTTATCCACCCTATGCTCTATTCATTTAGAACCTTCAAACATTTAAACTTCAAATGATTAAAAATAAAAAAAGCATTGAGGTCATCTCTCTTAGGTGTAATTTGCTTTCAAACAATTTTTAACAGTTCAGTTTTAGCGATCTTCATGTTTACAATTGTGCTCCCTTCGCAGTGCACTTTGAAAGCATTGATGTAATTTTGAACACAGCCTCAAGCGAAAGCTATAGGTGACCTAATATTTAAAAGCGCAATTTATATTACGTCTCCCAAGCTTGTGAAATCAAAAAGCATATGTTAATTCTTTTAATTTATAGTGGATTATTTATTAAGTATCTGTACTGTGTATATGACATGGACCTGCTGGTTAGAACTTTCTGCTGTGGTTTACAAGTGTCAAATCGTAAAAGTAGACTTTTCTAAAAAAAAAAAAAAATTAAATCAACAATACCCTACTTAATAATAATAATAATAATAATAACAATAATTATTATTATCATCATTATCATCATTAATATTATTATTAAAATATGATTTTTTAATTTCCTAATATATAATAAATATTAAGTTTCATTTGATAATAAATCGCCTCAGTATTTATCCATTCATATGATTCATATATGATATTAACATATGTGTTAGCTTTTGTAAGTGATTTGTTTTAGAATAGGATATGTCATTCTCAATAATATTTGTAAAGGAAACATACGGGGAGTGACAATGACCACTAAGGTTTGGATCCACATGCAGGTTTATTCGGATAGTCAGGCAAGAAATGGTCAGTACAGGTGCAAACAGATGTATAGAGGAAGTCCAGAATCGTAAGCAGAGAACAGGCGAGAGGTCGTAAGTAGGGATGGCTGACGTGAAACTGACGTTTCCGAAGCATGATCCGAAAAACCCAAGTCACGTGACTAAAGTGTTTCGAAACGCCTGGTCACGTGACTAAAGTGATTCAAAGCATCTATCAGTTAAGAAGCGTTTCGAGACCTGGCGAATCTACATGTAACTGCCGGAGTCAGGTCCCATACCGGTCTCATGCGGCCTAGTGGTCTGTGCGTGTGCACGTTGTTACTATGCTTTCAATGTCTTTTGGGTTCGAATCCCGACTTGTACAAATACTCCCAAATCATGGTTTTATGTATTTTAATCATGTTTCTGTTTTATGGTGTAGCCTAAATAGATTACAGCTGCGAATACGCCATCAATATAGCATCATTTTTGTAACACTACAAACCTCTGGTGGTTTGATCGCTGGTGAACATGACACATATATGTGCCATTTACATATATTTTAGTTAATATAGAAAGCGAGTGCATGTTTTTACCAAAACTAATATTGGATTTTATTTTAATGCGTGTGCGTGTAAAACAATATCATTTGCACAAAGAAATTATGGGGTTCTTCTGTAATGAAGTAGTTCCTCCGCCATGCTTAGAGTGTCATTGTGCGTGTTTTACGTTATAACTAACGTGGTTCAAGCGATGGATCTGCGGTAGAGAAACTATGCATTTTGGGAAACACTCGTCACTACGTCGTTCTTTTCCCAAACGATGCATTGTACCATGATAGTTCAGCCGTGAGCTACGTCGTTGTTCGGGAAACGCACCCCTGGACAGCAGCCTTCCAGGATGGAGTTTTGGCCACCTCTGCCCTAGTAGCTTGATATTTATATAGTATTACAAGTATTACAAATGGCTTTACCATGTCCTAAAAGGTAATGATGTGGTAAACTTTACACAAACACACAAATGTATTAAGAACAAAAGGTTTTGTGTTTCTGATATTGCAAACAGACAACTACGGTATGATTCCCATTCTCTTGGATCTCAAGAATGACTACCAATGCTGTATGATGCATGCCAGGCCAGAAGTTGGCAGCATCTCATTTTTAAGAAACACTACGATCATGTAGTCCATGATTGTTGTTTTGGTTGTCAAGTACTCTTGCTCATGCATGTAGACCCAATGCATAATACGCATGTGCATTGAAAAATGTATGTTTTTGTAGATTTATATGAACAAAAAAATGTATTGTATTCAAGAATGCACACTCTGAAAACTGTTTTCATAAAGCCATTGATATGATCAGCCAAAACACAAAATATTCTTTGCTTAATAATAATAATAATAATAATAATAAATCAATATTAACACTTTCTTAAATTGTTTTTCTTTCCCTACAGAAAACAATTTCCCTCCTCTACCACGGTTCATTCCACTGAAGCCATGTTTTTACCAAGACTTCAACGAAATCCCAGACCAGCATCGTACAATGTGCAAACGACTGTATTACCTGTGGATACGTATGTTCACCAATTCCCCAGCAGATTTCTGAAGTATTTTCAGTACATGTCAGAGCTTATTAGGATGTGTGCCCTAGTAGATTGTAATCATGTTGCTTTTCTGCCATTACAGTGTCAATGTTTTTACTGTAAACACTGAGAAAACACACACACACACGCACAACTTGTAGAGACAGGTTTTGTATTTTAATTTGTCAGGCTGAAAACGTGGAGTGTCATATTACTTTTGCTATTGCACACGTTTAACAACTACTACGTTTAACAAGCACTACGTTTGCTTTAGCCATGTTTACAACATTCCTCTTTTATTAGCGCACTGAATGGGAACTGTTTTGAAATGGGTCTGAGAGTTGAGGAAGTAAGTGTCTGTTAGTTTTGAGCTTAGATAGATGACTTAGCTGTTAGATTTTAGTCATTTCGTGTCACACGTGAGCAGATATGACTATTTCTTTGGAGTCAATCTAGGTCCATGTATACTTGCAAAATTACAGAAAGTATTGCAAACTAAAAATAAAGAATTGAGCAAAAAATAAATAAATTAATGCAAATTTCCAAAAATCCCAAAGCGAAAATAGATTTTTGAGAAATAAAAATGAACTTTGCAAACAAAAAAAAGGAGAAAAAAGAAAAAGAAAAAAAATCAAACAGTGCAAAAAAACAAAATATTTGCAATTAAAAAAAAAACAATATATATTTGCAAAAGATTTGTATAACATTGCCTTTACAAAAACCCTTCAGTCAATTGCAATGCTCATTTTGATTTGCTTTTCAGTCAACTGTGAGTTTGCGATGCTGTTTTCTGTTTTTTTTGCACTTCACATTTCTGCATGTTTCAATTTGTGCAAAGTGAAATGCGCAGAAACGTGAAGTGCAAAGTGAAAACAGCATCGCAAACTCACGATTGACTAAAAAACAAATCAAACTGTTTTGAAAATATGTATGTTTTGTTTTGGGGGGAGTTTAAATTTTTTTATTTATTTTATTTTTTTTGCACTGCTTGTTTTTTTTCTGCAGGTCTTTTTTGTTTGCACATTTCATTTTTAGTTTCTCAAAACTTCATTTTCCCTTTTGCAGTTTTTTATTTTTGTTTTTTAAAAATAATTTTTATTTCTCAAAAATTTATTTTAGCTTTGCGAATTTTGGAAATTTGCATCCATTTATTTATTTTTTGCTCAATTATTATTATTATTATTTTTTTTGCAAAACTTTCTTTTATTTTGCAAGTGTATATGGCCCTAGATTCACCCCATATATTTCCCTTTTCCCTGTAATGTAATCAACTTCCTCCCTTTACTGTTTATAATCATATGATATTATAATATTGTAACATTTTAATTTATGATAATGTTTTAACTAAATTTATTAATGTATTAAACGGTTTCTATTGATTTTTATTTAATTGTCTCACTGTTTAATTCAATACTTTACTAGTGCAAATGTTAGTTGACACTAATTATGTTTTTCACACTAATAGTGAACAGTGCCACTCTAGCAGTGAACCTGATTGGCTGTCTAGCATGGATGTGCGGAGGAGGCGGAGCAACCAATTTTGGCATGGCTATTCTGTGGCTGATCCTGTTCACCCCTTGTTCATACGTGTGCTGGTTTAGGCCCATCTACAAGGCCTTCAAGTGAGTAATATTTAACAATGGTTATTAAATAGTCTTTACAGTTTTTCTCAGTCACTTTGGTGCATCTCTCACAACACGATTTACATTTGCACAACAGTTTATGCATTTCTCATTCCTTCCAACAAACTGCAAATGCTTTTGGACATGCATCAATTGCTTTTATTCAACTCTCTGCTGTTTATAACATTATCATTTGCTTATGTCATGTCAGTCAAAATGAACATAACCTGTGAATGCTGAATAGTCATTCCATATAACTGTCCTCATTTCATTACTTGAGTCATTGCATACAGAAAATGTTGAACTAGTTGTCAAAATCTGTCTAGCAAATTTATAGTACTTTTTAAATCTTTTTTTTTCTTTCTGAAACAGGGTCCCCGCGGGGTCTTAAAAAGTATTAAAAAGTCTTAAATCAAAAAATCGAAATTTATGGCTTTAAAAAGTCTTAAATTCGCTGTTCTGGGTCTTAAATATTTTTGCACAGGTCTTATTTTTGCGATGTCCATGTAACGCTACATCTAATGCTCATTTAAATTCTTTTTGTTGTGGTTGCTAGGTTTTTGGGGTGTTGTAGTTCTTTATTTCACTAGTCCAATTGTAATTTGTGGTATTACAACTACAAAAAAGTCAACTTGCAATAGCCAATCAGCTTTCTGATATTAAACCCAGTGCGCGCGGCGAATGTGACATCATCGCGGTGTTTGCAGAAGTTCGCTTTGAGTGCGCGCGACATGATTTCGGCTGGCAGAGTATGCCGTTATTTCACTGACAAATGTCAAATGTCTGGCTCGCATGGTTCAGGATTGGTAGAGCTACGCATCGATGAATTTGCTCTTCAGTGTTTGAACTCTCAGTAATGATTAAATCACACTGAACTGAGCTGAACTGAACTGAACTTAAACACTAAAAACTGAACCACACTGTTCCATTTATTATGACCATTTATGTGAAGCTGCTTTGACACAATCTACATTGTAAAAGCGCTATACAAATAAAGCTGAATTGAATTGAATTGAAATGTCGCAAGCGCAGTTTTATAAGTCGGGAGCGCTGTAATACGAGAGAGCGAATCTCTGCTCACGCAGGTTTCCTTTGTTCATGGACAAAACTGTTTGCGAGCTCTCAAAACACTGGCTGCTCACGTGCGAATGATCTGCTCTCGCTCCGTCGGACTCAGCATACTGTAGTATTAGGAATAGTGAACTGATAAAATGAAATACAGTGTAGTTGTACTACAGTAAAGTGTGTTGAATTGTAGAAAAATATACCCTATATTGTAAAAAAAACTAAAGCACTGGTTAGTTTGTTTTTAATACACTTGTTGTGTTATCATAGCAACTATAGTATTACCACAACAGAGTAATTGAAGTACTTTACTGTACTTCACAAAACACTGTACAGCAGACACTAGTTCACTTTATTTTAGGGATAAAATGGGATTAATAGTGGCGTTTATTTGAAGAGTGAATAGTTCAGTAGGCTATAATACCTAATCAAGTTTTTACCTATTTTCTATCACAGTTACATTTCTGCTTGCCAGAATGACCAATAATTATTGGCTAGAAATTGCAACAGCCATGGGAAAGGAGGAAAGTTTTTGTAAAACTTTGGAAAAACCTGAGGGATAAGTTTGTTAAAACAACAAAAAAGAGCCCCCCAAAAACATCCTCAATGATGATGATTATCTTTTTATTCGTCTGATTTTACTTTCTGTTTTTTTGGACCGCCCCCTGTCATTTAAAAAACATATCTCAATGGTGAACGTGTCAAGTATAAAAGCCTTAATCCGTTTCGTGAGTTGTGCGATGCGGTGCCAGGTGAAAGTATAAATCTGCATAAGATGTTTGTTTTTTCTGTAGTTCAATGGTGAATTTAATCTGACTTTACTACTGTTCATTTTAAATAACTTTATTTTACCCCTAATTTTGTGCTTTTACATTTTCTCTCGCGTGTTTTTGATATTGCGATATAGGTCTTAAATTTAATACTTAATGGTCTTAAAAGGGTCTTAAAAGGTCTTAAATTTGACATTATGATATCTGCAGAGACCCTGTGAAAATGTCTTCTAAATTGAACAATTTCAACAATGATTTACAGACTTGTGTATGATGTAGTTTCAGCTCCAATATGTAGTTTAATATTGTTTACAGTTGTGCTCAGCTCTACCCAAAGGGAGGTTATGTTTGTTGTAAATAAGTGTGTATTTATTCTTTTGCACAATGCTGTGAATAAATTAGGATTGCAAAGAGCAAATGCAGTAAACATGTGAAACATACATATTCAGTGTCTTGTACTCAGATACCTCACTAAATTCAGTAATGTCGAACTTTGCTGTAGTTTTCAAATGGCTGTGCAAATAGTATACAGTGTTGTCTTGAGCATTTTCAGAACGTGTCACCAGTGTCACTGTTTTGCACTGAAAAAATGTCCAGAGTAAACTGTCATAATGAAAACATGACAAAGCCATTTGACTATCCTGTTTATAAACTGGTGTCAGGACTTTTCATTTTGATGATACTGACACTTTCTTCAACATCAATACTCGCTTTTGAGGAATGAGCTCTTCATTTTGAGCATGTGACACGCTTTTGCAGGTTATCAACTAGGTTTTGCAGTTTGTACTAATTGTTTTGAGAAATGCATTAACTGTTGTGCAAATGTAAATAGTGTAGTGAGAAATGCAGCAAGCCACTGAGAAAAACTGCAAATCTGGATCAAGTCATTATGCTCGAATATAATTCACTTTGTCTTCTGCAGGTCAGACAGTTCTTTTAACTTCATGGCGTTCTTTTTCGTCTTCATGGCGCAAGTGGTGATTAGCATCATCCAGACGGTTGGAATCCCAGGATGGGGAGTTTGGTAAGATTTAAGATGACGTCACATCAGACAGACAGAAATAGATGGATGGATGGATGGATGAATGGACAGACAGACAGATAGATAGATAGATAGATAGATAGATAGATAGATAGATAGATAGATAGATAGATAGATAGATAGATAGATAGATAGATGATAGGTAGGTAGGTAGATAGATAGATAGATAGATAGATAGATAGATAGATAGATAGATAGATAGATAGATAGATAGATAGATAGATAGATAGATAGATAGATAGATAGATAGATAGATGATAGGTAGGTAGGTAGGTAGGTAGATAGATAGATAGATAGATAGATAGATAGATAGATAGATGATAGATAGATAGATAGATAGATAGATAGATAGATAGATAGATAGATAGATAGATAGATAGATAGATAGATAGGTCGGCATATAGATAGATAGATAGATAGATAGATGATAGATAGATAGATAGATAGATAGATAGATAGATAGATAGATAGATAGATAGATAGATAGATAGATAGATAGATAGATAGATAGATAGGTCGGCATATAGATAGATAGATAGATAGATAGATAGATAGATAGATAGATAGATAGATAGATAGATAGATAGATAGATAGATAGATAGATAGATAGATAGATAGATAGATAGATAGATAGATAGATAGATAGATAGATAGATAGGTCGGCATATAGATAGGTCGGCATATAGATAGATAGATAGATAGATAGATAGATAGATAGATAGATAGATAGATAGATAGATAGATAGATAGATAGATAGATAGATAGATAGATAGATAGATAGATAGATAGGTCGGCATATAGATAGATAGATAGATAGATAGATAGATAGATAGATAGATAGATAGATAGATAGATAGATAGATAGATAGATAGATAGATAGATAGATAGATAGATAGATAGATAGATAGATAGATAGATAGATAGATAGATAGGTCGGCATATAGATAGATAGATAGATAGATAGATAGATAGATAGATAGATAGATAGATAGATAGATAGATAGATAGATAGATAGATAGATAGATAGATAGGTCGGCATATAGATAGATAGATCGATAGATAGATAGATAGATAGATAGATAGATAGATAGATAGATAGATAGATAGATAGATAGATAGATAGATAGATAGATAGATAGATAGATAGATAGGTCGGCATATAGATAGATAGATAGATAGATAGATAGATAGATAGATAGATGATAGATAGATAGATAGATAGATAGATAGATAGATAGATAGATAGATAGATAGATAGATAGATAGATAGATATTAGTTTTGTATTAGGAGCAAAAGAAAAAAATGTATACAGTATAATGATCTCTGATCAGTTCTGATGTGTTAAATCATATTCTTTTACAAAAATAAATTGACCTTTTATTCAAAGCATCTTTCAGGGACGCAAGGTTAAGCCTCAAAAGCTTTGGAACAAAATGTAAAAAGTATGTGAAGTTTTAACTCAAAGTACCGCTCAAATAATGTTTCATAACTCTTTGAATCTGCCCCTTTAAGGCTTCGACCGTAATTGTGCCTTTTTGTTGACTCACTTTATATTTAAACGTGTTCTTTTCAGAAGAGGGCAGAGCTACAAATGCTTGTGTCAACATAGTGGCAGATTCAAAAACAAGACTTACATCTTATGGTAATGAGGAAGAGATTGCAACTAGTGGGCAGGGCTCTGATACGAACAAATGGAGAATGTCAAATGAAAGTGTTTCTGCATACTGTTTTAATGAAGTGTGATTATAAAAAAATAATAATACATTTTTACCATTAGAGCAGGGGTGTCAAACTCAATTCCTGGAGGGCCGAAGCCCTGCACAGTTTAGTTCCAACCCTGCTCCAACACACTAACCTGTAGGTTTCAAACAAGCCTGAAGGACTCAATTAGTTTGATCAGGTGTGTTTAATTAGGGTTGGAACTAAACTGTGCAGGGCTGCGGCCTTTTTGGAACTGAGTTTGACACCTGTGCATTAGAGGATGGCTATGGCCCCGTGTACACTTGTGCGTTTTAGTTTTAAAACGGCGTTTTAGATCAAAAACGATCCGCGTCCACACTAGCGTTTCACCTAGCGTTTCTGAACATGTCTCCGTCCACACAACGCCACCAAAAACGTATATCACGTGACCATTCTGGGCATGCGCGTTCTAGTTTAAACAGGAAGCATGTGTCTCACTCGGCATTTGGTTATTGTTTATCAACAAACGCTGGTTGAACATTGAACGTGATGGCAAAGAAAGCAAGAGAGGTATTTTTGTGGACAGACGACGAAGTCGAGTTGTTACTAAACATAACAAAAGAATAATGGTGCCTAAAACAGACAATAGTGCAAACAATGCTCCCATTTCTGTGTCTGTGTTGTTGTTTACAGTGAAGGTTAGTCTACTGTCTTCCTGTAGCGTTATAGCTATGTTTTATAGTCATGTGATAGGGGCTTGACGAATAAGGGAAGGGTACGCAATAACACAAAAGCCCCAATCAGGTAGCAAATCTCAGCAGTCCCGCCTCCGTTTTCAGATGTCTCCGTTTTTCCCCATCCACACTGAGACAGAGCAGCAGCAATTCAGAATGAAAACGGCCTCTCCAGCATTTCCAAAACGCTCCGTTTTCGGCGTTCGAAAACTCCCGCGTAGTGTGGACGGATGGCGTAACCGTGGCAAAACTTCCAAACTAAAACGCATTAGTGTAAACAAGGCCTATACTCACACACTGTTGCCACACAACTGTGCTTAAACCCCTTGTAAAAGTGATTTTTGCATAATAGGTTTTCTTTAAAGAGAGATATTCAACACCCACCCACAGACCCTCGTCATGAGAGAAGTGGTTGAAAGTCAACAAAAGAAACATATTTAAATGCCAGGTGTGAACGGTAAAGTGTCTCTTTTGTCCACTTGTGATAAGATCAACAAAAATGCATCTGAATACCAGGTGTGAACAGACCCCAGAGGTGTTTAAAACAACATTTGAAAGCCCACCTCCTGTGGGGAACAGGCGGTCATTTGGGTAGTAGTGGTGTTGGGTCAAAGATCCCTAAAGTGACAAATATTTACTTTGATTATGCTTATTTCTGTGGGAACAAGACCATTTATTCAGTCCCGCTGCGACATTTTGAATGATATTAAAGCAGATGGATGAAGTCACTTGCATTCATACTGAACATTAATACTTTGATATGATCTGATGCACCGTTTATACGAGTGCGTTTTAATTTTAAAACAGCGTTTTAGATCAAAAATGATCCGCGTCCTCACTAGCGTTTCCCCTAGCGTCTCTGAACATATCTCCGTCCACACTACGCCACCAAAAACGAATATCACGTGACCATTCGCGCAATCTGGGCATGTGCGTTCCAGTATAAACAGAAAGCATGGGTTTCGCTCGGCATTTGGTTATTGTTAGTCAACAAACGCGATGGCAAAGAAAGCAAGAGAGGTATTTTTGTGGACAGACGACGAGGTCGAGTTGTTACTAAACGTAACAAATGAATCACTGCACAATGGCGCCTAAAACAGACAATACAAACAACGCTCCCATTTCTGTGCCCATGTTGTTGTTTACAGTACTGTTTCCGGTAGCGTTAAAGCCATTTGTTATAGTCATGTGATAGAGGCTTGACGAATAAGGGAAGCATACGCAATGACACAAAAGCCCCAATCAGGTAGCGAATCCCAGCAGTCCCGCCTCCGTTTTCAGATGTCTCCGTTTTTCCTCATCCACACTGAGACGGTGCAGCGTAGCAAAACTTAAGCGTAAAAAACGAAAACGCATTAGTGTAAACGGGGCCTTACTGTGTGAGCAGAGTGAAGATGGGGTTGGGTGATGGGAAACAAATGCAGGAGAAGGAACAAATGTAAACAAGACAAGCTTTCTCACACTTTCTCTCCATGGGGTGGGAAGGCTGTGTCTGTGGCTACATTCACACTGCAGGCAAATGTGGCACGAATCTGATTTCTTCCCCCTCATGTGACTCAGATGATGACAGTGTGAACAGCCCAAACCGCATGAAATCTGATCTTTTTTAGGTCAGATCTGTGCCACTTTCATATGTAGTCTTAAATCAGACACAGATCTGATGTTTTGCAATCAAGCGTCAACCTCCCACTCTCCCTCAGGAAGCCAATATGGAAGTAACTAAAACTGCAATTCATCCGAATTTCCGCTAGTCCTGGCCGCTCCTGGCAAATTTCAATTGAGCCCACTGTTAGAATGGCCAACTTTACAGCAGAAAAAAAGGTGTTTACAGCCGGGTATAAAAAAAAGATTTTGGTTAATACAGCTAATATTACCCTTCATGACAACTGTGAGGGGGGTGAATTTTTTTATAACTCATCCGTTTCCTTTATACTAAGTTATATTAAGTTTGCATAATTAAGGGCGTGGCCACTTGAGTGACAGCTAGGTCTCGTTGGTCGCCGTCACGTCACCTCAGCTGAATCCTGCAGATTAGCCACTGAACTCGGCATATTTATCGTATTTCTGTGTTGTTTTATGTGGCTTTACACAGTCAACTGCCTTTTGGACTTGTTTCCTACAATTATTAGATGGCATGGCATGCTGAGTGCACTTAATTGTGCTCACAAGCCATTCACGTGGCCTCCGTTTCCCATGTAAGTAAAGTTATATACTTTTTATACTATCTTTATACATGTATTTGTTTTATTTAAGATCATTTATCATTTATATTTAGAGCTGTAATGCACTCCAGAATCTGACGAATTGATTAGCTGTAGGCTCTAGAACAGTCATCTGAAGTGTTGTCATACAGTGTTATGCTGGATTTCATCAATAGTCTTACATTAACTAACACAGACTATATCTGAAGTGTTTGGAAGTAATTCGCGTTTTCCTCCTGTTGAAAAACGTCATAAGAACAATGTTTAGTGGCTCAGTGTATTACAGCAGTGTTTTTACAAGTCTAAACACTTTATTGATATAGTATACAACCAAGCACAAGTGGTCAGAACACAAACGAGTC